ATTATTATTATTATTATTATTATTATTATTATTATTATTATTTATTTATTTATTATTATTATTTATTTATTTATTTATTTATTTATTATTATTTATTTATTTATCCATCCAACAATATTATGTACTCTTGCGAACAAGGGGACTTTTGAATGAAATAGAATGTTGGCTTTTAAGATGACCATGAACATTATCCTTTTTTTACACAGACGCGGAGAGCCCTGTCGTCATTTGTCCAGCTGATATATTCCAGAACACAGATGATGGAGCATCTTGGGCGAATGTAACATGGGGTGCTGTCAATGCAACTGATAATTCAGGATCTGTAATCGATGTGTATGTTTATCATGCTCCAGGTAGTAATTTTCCTATCGGAAGTACAATTGTTACGTATTCTGCTGTCGATGCATACAACAACACAGGGTACTGTTCCTTTAGTGTAACAATCATTGGTGAGTATAATTATATTTATTGCGGAACAATTATCAGGAAAATTTGTAAAAGATAGTAAAGTGTTGATATAATTGATATAGACAAGAATTTATTTATTTATTAACCAACAAAATAATGTACTCTAGCGATCAGGTGATTTTTTTAATGAAATAAGAAGTTGTCTTTCAAGATGACCATGCATATTATTTCCTTTCTATACACAGACGCTGAGAGTCCTGTTGTCATTTGTCCAGCTGATATATTGCAGAACACAGATGATGGAGCATCTTGGGCGAATGTAACATGGGGTGCTGTCAATGCAACTGATAATTCAGGATCTGTAACCAATGTGTATGTTTCTCATGCTCCAAGCAGTAATTTTCCTATCGGAAGTACAATTGTTACGTATTCTGCTGTCGATGCATACAACAACACTGGGTACTGTTCCTTTATGTAACCGTCATTGGTGAGTATTATTGTATTTATTGCCGAACAAATATCAGGAAAATTCGTAAAAGGTTGTAAAGTGTTGATCTAATTTACATATAAATTGATAGACACGAATTTATTTCTTAATTAATTTATTTATTTATTATTTATTAATTTTTTTTATTTTTTTATTTATTTTTTTATTTATTTTCCAACACGATTATGTACTATTGCGACCAGGTGATTTTTGAAGTGAAATACAAAGTTGTCTTGCAAGATGACCATGCACACTATTTTGTTTCTATACACAGACGCTGAGAGTCCTGTTGTCATTTGTCAAGCTGATATATTACAAAATACAGACGATGGAGCACCTTGGGCGAATGTTACATGGGGTGTTGTCAATGCAACTGATAATTCAGGATCTGTATCCGATATATATGTGTCTCATGCTCCAGACAGCAATTTCCCTATCGGAAGTACAATTGTTACGTATTCTGCTGTAGATGCATACAACAACACGGGGTACTGTTCCTTTAGTGTAACCGTTATTGGTAAGTATAATTACATTTATTGCGGAACAGTTATCAGAAAAAATTCGTAAAAAGTAGTAAAGTGTTGATATCATTTATATATAAATTGATAGACAAGAATTTATTTATTTATTTATTTATTAACCAACATGATTATGTACTCTTGTGATCAGGTGATTTTTGAAATGAAATAGAAAGTTTTCGTTCAAGATGACCATGCATAATATTTTCTTGCCATTAACAGACGCTGAGAGTCCTGTCGTCATTTGTCCAGCTGATATATTCCAGAACACAGAGGATGGAGCTACTTGGGCAAATGTTACATGGGGTGTTGTTAATGCAACTGATAATTCAGGATCTGTAACCGATCTGTATGTGTCTCATGCTCCAAGCAGCAATTTCTCTATTGGAAGTACGCAGGTTACGTATTCGGCTGTAGATGCATACAACAACACAGGACACTGTTCCTTTATTGTTACCATCATTAGTGAGTATAATTATATTTATTGTCAAACGATTATCAGTAACATTCGTAAAAGGTAGTAATGCTTTAATATAATTTATATATAAATTGATAGAAATTTATTTATTTATTTATTTATTTATTTATTTATTTATTTATTTATTTATTTATTTATTTATTTATTTATTTATTTATTTATCCATCCAACAATATTATGTACTCTTGCGAACAAGGGGACTTTTGAATGAAATAGAATGTTGGCTTTTAAGATGACCATGAACATTATCCTTTTTTTACACAGACGCGGAGAGCCCTGTCGTCATTTGTCCAGCTGATATATTCCAGAACACAGATGATGGAGCATCTTGGGCGAATGTAACATGGGGTGCTGTCAATGCAACTGATAATTCAGGATCTGTAATCGATGTGTATGTTTATCATGCTCCAGGTAGTAATTTTCCTATCGGAAGTACAATTGTTACGTATTCTGCTGTCGATGCATACAACAACACAGGGTACTGTTCCTTTAGTGTAACAATCATTGGTGAGTATAATTATATTTATTGCGGAACAATTATCAGGAAAATTTGTAAAAGATAGTAAAGTGTTGATATAATTGATATAGACAAAAATTTATTTATTTATTAACCAACAAAATAATGTACTCTAGCGATCAGGTGATTTTTTTAATGAAATAGGGAAGTTGTCTTTCAAGATGACCATGCATATTATTTCCTTTCCATACACAGACGCTGAGAGTCCTGTGTCATTTGTCCAGCTGATATATTGCAGAACACAGACGATGGAGCCTCCTGGGCGAATGTAACATGGGGTGCTGTCAATGCAACTGATAATTCAGGATCTGTAACCAATGTGTATGTTTCTCATGCTCCAAGCAGTAATTTTCCTATCGGAAGTACAATTGTTATGTATTCTGCTGTCGATGCATACAACAACACTGGGTACTGTTCCTTTATTGTAACCGTCATTGGTGAGTATTATTGTATTTATTGCCGAACAAATATCAGGAAAATTCGTAAAAGGTTGTAAAGTGTTGATCTAATTTTCATATAAATTGATAGACACGAATTTATTTCTTAATTAATTTATTTATTTATTACTTATTTTTTTTATTTTTTTTATTTATTTTTTTATTTATTTTCCAACACGATTATGTACTATTGCGACCAGGTGATTTTTGAAATGAAATACAAAGTTGTCTTTCAAGATGACCATGCACACTATTTTGTTTCTATACACAGACGCTGAGAGTCCTGTTGTCATTTGTCCAGCTGATATATTACAAAATACAGACGATGGAGCACCTTGGGCGAATGTTACATGGGGTGTTGTCAATGCAACTGATAATTCAGGATCTGTAACCGATCTGTATGTGTCTCATGCTCCAAGCAGCAATTTCCCCATTGGAAGTACGCAGGTTACGTATTCGGCTGTAGATGCATACAACAACACAGGACACTGTTCCTTTATTGTCACCATCATTAGTGAGTATAATTATATTTATTGCCAAACGAGTATCAGTAACATTCGTAAAAGGTAGTAATGCTTTAATATAATTTATATATAAATTGATAGAAATTTATTTATTTATTTATTTATTTATTTATTTATTTATTTATTTATTTATTTATCTATTTATTCATCCAACAATATTATGTACTCTTGCGAACAAGGGGACTTTTGAATGAAATAGAATGTTGGCTTTTAAGATGACCATGAACATTATCCTTTTTTTTACACAGACGCGGAGAGTCCTGTCGTCATTTGTCCAGCTGATATATTCCAGAACACAGATGATGGAGCATCTTGGGCGAATGTAACATGGGGTGCTGTCAATGCAACTGATAATTCAGGATCTGTAATCGATGTGTATGTTTATCATGCTCCAGGTAGTAATTTTCCTATCGGAAGTACGATTGTTACGTATTCTGCTGTCGATGCATACAACAACACAGGGTACTGTTCCTTTAGTGTAACCATCATTGGTGAGTATAATTATATTTATTGCAGAACAATTATCAGGAAAATGTGTAAAAGATAGTAAAGTGTTGATATAATTGATATAGACAAAAATTTATTTATGTATTAACCAACAAAATAATGTACTCTAGCGATCAGGTGATTTTTTAAATGAAATAGGAAGTTGTCTTTCAAGATGACCATGCATATTATTTCCTTTCCATACACAGACGCTGAGAGTCCTGTTGTCATTTGTCCAGCTGATATATTGCAGAACACAGACGATGGAGCCTCCTGGGCGAATGTAACATGGGGTGCTGTCAATGCAACTGATAATTCAGGATCTGTAACCAATGTGTATGTTTCTCATGCTCCAAGCAGTAATTTTCCTATCGGAAGTACAATTGTTACGTATTCTGCTGTCGATGCATACAACAACACTGGGTACTGTTCCTTTATTGTAACCGTCATTGGTGAGTATTATTGTATTTATTGCCGAACAAATATCAGGAAAATTCGTAAAAGGTTGTAAAGTGTTGATCTAATTTTCATATAAATTGATAGACACGAATTTATTTCTTAATTAATTTATTTATTTATTACTTATTTTTTTTATTTTTTTTATTTATTTTTTTATTTATTTTCCAACACGATTATGTACTATTGCGACCAGGTGATTTTTGAAATGAAATACAAAGTTGTCTTTCAAGATGACCATGCACACTATTTTGTTTCTATACACAGACGCTGAGAGTCCTGTTGTCATTTGTCCAGCTGATATATTACAAAATACAGACGATGGAGCACCTTGGGCGAATGTTACATGGGGTGTTGTCAATGCAACTGATAATTCAGGATCTGTAACCGATCTGTATGTGTCTCATGCTCCAAGCAGCAATTTCCCCATTGGAAGTACGCAGGTTACGTATTCGGCTGTAGATGCATACAACAACACAGGACACTGTTCCTTTATTGTCACCATCATTAGTGAGTATAATTATATTTATTGCCAAACGAGTATCAGTAACATTCGTAAAAGGTAGTAATGCTTTAATATAATTTATATATAAATTGATAGAAATTTATTTATTTATTTATTTATTTATTTATTTATTTATTTATTTATCTATTTATTCATCCAACAATATTATGTACTCTTGCGAACAAGGGGACTTTTGAATGAAATAGAATGTTGGCTTTTAAGATGACCATGAACATTATCCTTTTTTTTACACAGACGCGGAGAGTCCTGTCGTCATTTGTCCAGCTGATATATTCCAGAACACAGATGATGGAGCATCTTGGGCGAATGTAACATGGGGTGCTGTCAATGCAACTGATAATTCAGGATCTGTAATCGATGTGTATGTTTATCATGCTCCAGGTAGTAATTTTCCTATCGGAAGTACGATTGTTACGTATTCTGCTGTCGATGCATACAACAACACAGGGTACTGTTCCTTTAGTGTAACCATCATTGGTGAGTATAATTATATTTATTGCAGAACAATTATCAGGAAAATGTGTAAAAGATAGTAAAGTGTTGATATAATTGATATAGACAAAAATTTATTTATGTATTAACCAACAAAATAATGTACTCTAGCGATCAGGTGATTTTTTTAAATGAAATAGGAAGTTGTCTTTCAAGATGACCATGCATATTATTTCCTTTCCATACACAGACGCTGAGAGTCCTGTTGTCATTTGTCCAGCTGATATATTGCAGAACACAGACGATGGAGCCTCCTGGGCGAATGTAACATGGGGTGCTGTCAATGCAACTGATAATTCAGGATCTGTAACCAATGTGTATGTTTCTCATGCTCCAAGCAGTAATTTTCCTATCGGAAGTACAATTGTTACGTATTCTGCTGTCGATGCATACAACAACACTGGGTACTGTTCCTTTATTGTAACCGTCATTGGTGAGTATTATTGTATTTATTGCCGAACAAATATCAGGAAAATTCGTAAAAGGTTGTAAAGTGTTGATCTAATTTACATATAAATTGATAGACACGAATTTATTTCTTAATTAATTTATTTATTTATTTATTATTTATTATTTATTTTTTTTATTTTTTTTATTTATTTTTTTATTTATTTTCCAACACGATTATGTACTATTGCGACCAGGTGATTTTTGAAATGAAATACAAAGTTGTCTTTCAAGATGACCATGCACACTATTTTGTTTCTATACACAGACGCTGAGAGTCCTGTTGTCATTTGTCCAGCTGATATATTACAAAATACAGACGATGGAGCACCTTGGGCGAATGTTACATGGGGTGTTGTCAATGCAACTGATAATTCAGGATCTGTATCCGATATATATGTGTCTCATGCTCCAGACAGCAATTTCCCTATCGGAAGTACAATTGTTACGTATTCTGCTGTAGATGCATACAACAACACGGGGTACTGTTCCTTTAGTGTAACCGTTATTGGTAAGTATAATTACATTTATTGCGGAACAGTTATCAGAAAAATTCGTAAAAAGTAGTAAAGTGTTGATATCATTTATATATAAATTGATAGACAAGAATGTATTTATTTATTTATTTATTTATTCATTTATTCATTTATTATCCAACATGATTATGTACTCTTGTGATCAGGTGATTTTTGAAATGAAATAGAAAGTTTTCGTTCAAGATGACCATGCATAATATTTTCTTGCCATTAACAGACGCTGAGAGTCCTGTCGTCATTTGTCCAGCTGATATATTCCAGAACACAGACGATGGAGCTACTTGGGCGAATGTTACATGGGGTGTTGTCAATGCAACTGATAATTCAGGATCTGTAACCGATCTGTATGTGTCTCATGCTCCAAGCAGCAATTTCCCTATTGGAAGTACGCAGGTTACGTATTCGGCTGTAGATGCATACAACAACACAGGACACTGTTCCTTTATTGTCACCATCATTAGTGAGTATAATTATATTTATTGCCAAACGATTATCAGTAACATTCGTAAAAGGTAGTAATGCTTTAATATAAATTGATAGAAATTTATTTATTTATTTATTTATTTATTTATTTATTTATCCAACAATATTATGTACTCTTGCGAACAAGGGGACTTTTGAATGAAATAGAATGTTGGCTTTTAAGATGACCATGAACATTATCCTTTTTTTTACACAGACACGGAGAGTCCTGTCGTCATTTGTCCAGCTGATATATTCCAGAACACAGATGATGGAGCATCTTGGGCGAATGTAACATGGGGTGCTGTCAATGCAACTGATAATTCAGGATCTGTAATCGATGTGTATGTTTCTCATGCTCCAGGTAGTAATTTCCCTATCGGAAGTACAATTGTTACGTATTCTGCTGTCGATGCATACAACAACACAGGGTACTGTTCCTTTAGTGTAACCATCATTGGTGAGTATAATTATATTTATTGCGGAACAATTATCAGGAATATTTGTAAAAGATAGTAAAGTGTTGATATAATTGATATAGACAAGAATTTATTTATTTATTAACCAACAAAATAATGTACTCAAGCGATCAGGTGATTTTTTAAATGAAATAGGAAGTTGTCTTTCAAGATGACCATGCATATTATTTCCTTTCTATACACAGACGCTGAGAGTCCTGTTGTCATTTGTCCAGCTGATATATTGCAGAACACAGACGATGGAGCCTCCTGGGCGAATGTAACATGGGGTGCTGTCAATGCAACTGATAATTCAGGATCTGTAACCAATGTGTATGTTTCTCATGCTCCAAGCAGTAATTTTTCTATCGGAAGTACAATTGTTACGTATTCTGCTGTCGATGCATACAACAACACTGGGTACTGTTCCTTTATTGTAACCGTCATTGGTGAGTATTATTGTATTTATTGCCGAACAAATATCAGGAAAATTCGTAAAAGGTTGTAAAGTGTTGATCTAATTTACATATAAATTGATAGACACGAATTTATTTCATAATTAATTTATTTATTTATTTATTTATTATTTATTTTTTATGTTTTGATTTATTTTTTGATTTATTTTCCAACACGATTATGTACTATTGCGACCAGGTGATTTTTGAAATGAAATACAAAGTTGTCTTTCAAGATGACCATGCACACTATTTTGTTTCTATACACAGACGCTGAGAGTCCTGTTGTCATTTGTCCAGCTGATATATTGCAAAATACAGACGATGGAGCACCTTGGGCTAATGTTACATGGGGTGTTGTCAATGCAACTGATAATTCAGGATCTGTATCCGATATATATGTGTCTCATGCTCCAGGCAGCAATTTCCCTGTCGGAAGTACAATTGTTACGTATTCTGCTGTAGATGCATACAACAACACGGGGTACTGTTCCTTTAGTGTAACCGTTATTGGTAAGTATAATTACATTTATTGCGGAACAGTTATCAGAAAAATTCGTAAAAAGTAGTAAAGTGTTTATATCATTTATATATAAATTGATAGACAAGAATTTATTTATTTATTTCTTCATTTATTATCCAACATGATTATGTACTCTTGTGATCAGATGATTTTTGAAATGAAATAGAAAGTTTTTGTTCAAGATGACCATGCATATTATTTTCTTGCCATTAACAGACGCTGAGAGTCCTGTCGTCATTTGTCCAGCTGATATATTCCAGAACACAGACGATGGAGCTACTTGGGCAAATGTTACATGGGGTTTTGTCAATGCAACTGATAATTCAGGATCTGTAACCGATCTGTATGTGTCTCATGCTCCAAGCAGCAATTTCCCTATTGGAAGTACGCAGGTTACGTATTCGGCTGTAGATGCATACAACAACACAGGACACTGTTCCTTTATTGTCACCATCATTAGTGAGTATAATTATATTTATTGCCAAACGATTATCAGTAACATTCGTAAAAGGTAGTAATGCTTTAATATAATTTATATATAAATTGATAGAAATTTATTTATTTATTTATTTATTTATTTATTTATTTATTTATTTATTTATTTATTTATTTATTTATTTATTTATTTATTTATTTATTTATTTATTTATTTATTTATTTATTTATTTATTTATTTATCCATCCAACAATATTATGTACTCTTGCGAACAAGGGGACTTTTGAATGAAATAGAATGTTGGCTTTTAAGATGACCATGAACATTATCCTTTTTTTACACAGACGCGGAGAGCCCTGTCGTCATTTGTCCAGCTGATATATTCCAGAACACAGATGATGGAGCATCTTGGGCGAATGTAACATGGGGTGCTGTCAATGCAACTGATAATTCAGGATCTGTAATCGATGTGTATGTTTACCATGCTCCAGGTAGTAATTTTCCTATCGGAAGTACAATTGTTACGTATTCTGCTGTCGATGCATACAACAACACAGGGTACTGTTCCTTTAGTGTAACAATCATTGGTGAGTATATGTATTATGCCGAACAAATATCAGAAAAATCGTAAAAGGTGTAAAGTGTTGATCTAATTACATATAAATTGATAGACACAAATTTATTCTTAATTAATTCATTATTTATTATTATTTATTTTTTATTTTTTTTATTATTTTTTTATTATTTTTTTATTTATTTTCCAACACGATTATATACTATTGCGACCAGGTGATTTTTGAAATGAAATACAAAGTTGTCTTTCAAGATGACCATGCACACTATTTTGTTTCTATACACAGACGCTGAGAGTACTGTTGTCATTTGTCCAGCTGATATATTGCAAAATACAGACGATGGAGCACCTTGGGCGAATGTTACATGGGGTGTTGTCAATGCAACTGATAATTCAGGATCTGTATCCGATATATATGTGTCTCATGCTCCAGGCAGCAATTTCCCTATCGGAAGTACAATTGTTACGTATTCTGCTGTAGATGCATACAACAACATGGGGTACTGTTCCTTTAGTGTAACCGTTATTGGTAAGTATAATTACATTTATTGTGGAACAGTTATCAGAAAAAATCGTGAAAAGTAGTAAAGTGTTGATATCATTTATATATAAATTGATAGACAAGAATTTATTTATTTATTTATTTATTCATTTATTATCCAACATGATTATGTACTCTTGTGATCAGGTGATTTTTGAAATGAAATAGAAAGTTTTCGTTCAAGATGACCATGCATATTATTTTATTGCCATTAACAGACGCTGAGAGTCCTGTCGTCATTTGTCCAGCTGATATATTCCAGACCACAGACGATGGAGCTACTTGGGCGAATGTTACATGGGGTGTTGTCAATGCAACTGATAATTCAGGATCTGTAACCGATCTGTATGTGTCTCATGCTCCAAGCAGCAATTTCCCCATTGGAAGTACGCAGGTTACGTATTCGGCTGTAGATGCATACAACAACACAGGACACTGTTCCTTTATTGTCACCATCATTAGTGAGTATAATTATATTTATTGCCAAACGATTATCAGTAACATTCGTAAAAGGTAGTAATGCTTTAATATAATTTATATATAAATTGATAGAAATTTATTTATTTATTTATTTATTTATTTATTTATTTATTTATTTATTTATTTATTTATTTATTTATTTATTTATTTATTTATTTATTTATTTATTTATCCATCCAACAATATTATGTACTCTTGCGAACAAGGGGACTTTTGAATGAAATAGAATGTTGGCTTTTAAGATGACCATGAACATTATCCTTTTTTTACACAGACGCGGAGAGTCCTGTCGTCATTTGTCCAGCTGATATATTCCAGAACACAGATGATGGAGCATCTTGGGCGAATGTAACATGGGGTGCTGTCAATGCAACTGATAATTCAGGATCTGTAATCGATGTGTATGTTTATCATGCTCCAGGTAGTAATTTTCCTATCGGAAGTACAATTGTTACGTATTCTGCTGTCGATGCATACAACAACACAGGGTACTGTTCCTTTAGTGTAACCATCATTGGTGAGTATAATTATATTTATTGCGGAACAATTATCAGAAAAAATTTGTAAAAGGTGTAAAGTGTGATCTAATTACATATAAATTGATAGACACAAATTATTCTAATTAATCATTATTATTATATTATTTTTATTTTTTTATTTATTTTTTATTTATTTTTTATTTATTTCCAACACGATTATATACTATTGCGACCAGGTGATTTTTGAAATGAAATACAAAGTTGTCTTTCAAGATGACCATGCACACTATTTTGTTTCTATACACAGACGCTGAGAGTACTGTTGTCATTTGTCCAGCTGATATATTGCAAAATACAGACGATGGAGCACCTTGGGCGAATGTTACATGGGGTGTTGTCAATGCAACTGATAATTCAGGATCTGTATCCGATATATATGTGTCTCATGCTCCAGGCAGCAATTTCCCTATCGGAAGTACAATTGTTACGTATTCTGCTGTAGATGCATACAACAACATGGGGTACTGTTCCTTTAGTGTAACCGTTATTGGTAAGTATAATTACATTTATTGTGGAACAGTTATCAGAAAAAATCGTGAAAAGTAGTAAAGTGTTGATATCATTTATATATAAATTGATAGACAAGAATTTATTTATTTATTTATTTATTCATTTATTATCCAACATGATTATGTACTCTTGTGATCAGGTGATTTTTGAAATGAAATAGAAAGTTTTCGTTCAAGATGACCATGCATATTATTTTATTGCCATTAACAGACGCTGAGAGTCCTGTCGTCATTTGTCCAGCTGATATATTCCAGACCACAGACGATGGAGCTACTTGGGCGAATGTTACATGGGGTGTTGTCAATGCAACTGATAATTCAGGATCTGTAACCGATCTGTATGTGTCTCATGCTCCAAGCAGCAATTTCCCCATTGGAAGTACGCAGGTTACGTATTCGGCTGTAGATGCATACAACAACACAGGACACTGTTCCTTTATTGTCACCATCATTAGTGAGTATAATTATATTTATTGCCAAACGATTATCAGTAACATTCGTAAAAGGTAGTAATGCTTTAATATAATTTATATATAAATTGATAGAAATTTATTTATTTATTTATTTATTTATTTATTTATTTATTTATTTATTTATTTATTTATTTATTTATTTATTTATTTATCCATCCAACAATATTATGTACTCTTGCGAACAAGGGGACTTTTGAATGAAATAGAATGTTGGCTTTTAAGATGACCATGAACATTATCCTTTTTTTACACAGACGCGGAGAGTCCTGTCGTCATTTGTCCAGCTGATATATTCCAGAACACAGATGATGGAGCATCTTGGGCGAATGTAACATGGGGTGCTGTCAATGCAACTGATAATTCAGGATCTGTAATCGATGTGTATGTTTATCATGCTCCAGGTAGTAATTTTCCTATCGGAAGTACAATTGTTACGTATTCTGCTGTCGATGCATACAACAACACAGGGTACTGTTCCTTTAGTGTAACCATCATTGGTGAGTATAATTATATTTATTGCGGAACAATTATCAGAAAAATTTGTAAAAGATAGTAAAGTGTTGATATAATTGATATAGACAAGAATTTATATATTTATTAACCAGCAAAATAATGTACTCTAGCGATCAGGTGATTTTTTAAATGAAATAGGAAGTTGTCTTTCAAGATGACCATGCATATTATTTCCTTTCTATACACAGACGCTGAGAGTCCTGTTGTCATTTGTCCAGCTGATATATTGCAGAACACAGACGATGGAGCCTCCTGGGCGAATGTAACATGGGGTGCTGTCAATGCAACTGATAATTCAGGATCTGTAACCAATGTGTATGTTTCTCATGCTCCAAGCAGTAATTTTCCTATCGGAAGTACAATTGTTACGTATTCTGCTGTCGATGCATACAACAACACTGGGTACTGTTCCTTTATTGTAACCGTCATTGGTGAGTATTATTGTATTTATTGCCGAACAAATATCAGGAAAATTCGTAAAAGGTTGTAAAGTGTTGATCTAATTTTCATATAAATTGATAGACACGAATTTATTTCTTAATTAATTTATTTATTTATTACTTATTTTTTTTATTTTTTTTATTTATTTTTTTATTTATTTTCCAACACGATTATGTACTATTGCGACCAGGTGATTTTTGAAATGAAATACAAAGTTGTCTTTCAAGATGACCATGCACACTATTTTGTTTCTATACACAGACGCTGAGAGTCCTGTTGTCATTTGTCCAGCTAATATATTGCAAAATACAGATGATGTAGCACCTTGGGCGAATGTTACATGGGGTGTTGTCAATGCAACTGATAATTCAGGATCTGTATCCGATATATATGTGTCTCATGCTCGAGGCAGCAATTTCCCTACCGGAAGTACAATTGTTACGTATTCTGCTGTAGATGCATACAACAACACGGGGTACTGTTCCTTTAGTGTAACCGTTATTGGTAAGTATAATTACATTTCTTGTGGAACAGTTATCAGAAAAATTCGTGAAAAGTAGTAAAGTGTTGATATCATTTATATATAAATTGATAGACAAGAATTTATTTATTTATTTATTCATTTATTATCCAACATGATTATGTACTCTTGTGATCAGGTGATTTTTGAAATGAAATAGAAAGTTTTCGTTCAAGATGACCATGCATATTATTTTCTTGCCATTAACAGACGCTGAGAGTCCTGTCGTCATTTGTCCAGCTGATATATTCCAGAACACAGACGATGGAGCTACTTGGGCGAATGTTACATGGGGTGTTGTCAATGCAACTGATAATTCAGGATCTGTAACCGATCTGTATGTGTCTCATGCTCCAAGCAGCAATTTCCCCATTGGAAGTACGCAGGTTACGTATTCGGCTGTAGATGCATACAACAACACAGGACACTGTTCCTTTATTGTCACCATCATTAGTGAGTATAATTATATTTATTGCCAAACGAGTATCAGTAACATTCGTAAAAGGTAGTAATGCTTTAATATAATTTATATATAAATTGATAGAAATTTATTTATTTATTTATTTATTTATTTATTTATTTATTTATTTATTTATTTATTTATTTATCTATTTATTTATTTATTTATTTATTTATCCATCCAACAATATTATGTACTCTTGCGAACAAGGGGACTTTTGAATGAAATAGAATGTTGTCTTTTAAGATGACCATGAACATTATCCTTTTTTTTTACACAGACGCGGAGAGTCCTGTTGTCATTTGTCCAGCTGATATATTGCAGAACACAGACGATGGAGCCTCCTGGGCGAATGTAACATGGGGTGCTGTCAATGCAACTGATAATTCAGGATCTGTAACCAATGTGTATGTTTCTCATGCTCCAAGCAGTAATTTTCCTATCGGAAGTACAATTGTTACGTATTCTGCTGTCGATGCATACAACAACACTGGGTACTGTTCCTTTAGTGTAACCATCATTGGTGAGTATAATTATATTTATTGCGGAACAATTATCAGGAAAATTTGTAAAAGATAGTAAAGTGTTGATATAATTGATATAGACAAGAATTTATTTATTTATTAACCAACAAATTAATCTACTCTAGCGATCAGGTGATTTTTTAAATGAAATAGGAAGTTGTCTTTCAAGATGACCATGCATATTATTTCCTTTCTATACACAGACGCTGAGAGTCCTGTTGTCATTTGTCCGGCTGATATAATGCAGAACACAGACGATGGAGCCTCCTGGGCGAATGTAACATGGGGTGCTGTCAATGCAACTGATAATTCAGGATCTGTAACCAATGTGTATGTTTCTCGTGCTCCAAGCAGTAATTTTCCTATCGGAAGTACAATTGTTACGTATTCTGCTGTCGATGCATACAACAACACTGGGTACTGTTCCTTTATTGTAACCGTCATTGGTGAGTATTATTGTATTTATTGCCGAACAAATATCAGAAAAATTCGTAAAAGGTTGTAAAGTGTTGATCTAATTTACATATAAATTGATAGACACAAATTTATTTCTTAATTAATTCATTTATTTATTTATTATTTATTATTTATTTTTTATTTTTTTTATTTATTTTTTTATTTATTTTTTTATTTATTTTCCAACACGATTATATACTATTGCGACCAGGTGATTTTTGAAATGAAATACAAAGTTGTCTTTCAAGATGACCATGCACACTATTTTGTTTCTATACACAGACGCTGAGAGTACTGTTGTCATTTGTCCAGCTGATATATTGCAAAATACAGACGATGGAGCACCTTGGGCGAATGTTACATGGGGTGTTGTCAATGCAACTGATAATTCAGGATCTGTATCCGATATATATGTGTCTCATGCTCCAGGCAGCAATTTCCCTATCGGAAGTACAATTGTTACGTATTCTGCTGTAGATGCATACAACAACATGGGGTACTGTTCCTTTAGTGTAACCGTTATTGGTAAGTATAATTACATTTATTGTGGAACAGTTATCAGAAAAAATCGTGAAAAGTAGTAAAGTGTTGATATCATTTATATATAAATTGATAGACAAGAATTTATTTATTTATTTATTTATTCATTTATTATCCAACATGATTATGTACTCTTGTGATCAGGTGATTTTTGAAATGAAATAGAAAGTTTTCGTTCAAGATGACCATGCATATTATTTTATTGCCATTAACAGACGCTGAGAGTCCTGTCGTCATTTGTCCAGCTGATATATTCCAGACCACAGACGATGGAGCTACTTGGGCGAATGTTACATGGGGTGTTGTCAATGCAACTGATAATTCAGGATCTGTAACCGATCTGTATGTGTCTCATGCTCCAAGCAGCAATTTCCCCATTGGAAGTACGCAGGTTACGTATTCGGCTGTAGATGCATACAACAACACAGGACACTGTTCCTTTATTGTCACCATCATTAGTGAGTATAATTATATTTATTGCCAAACGATTATCAGTAACATTCGTAAAAGGTAGTAATGCTTTAATATAATTTATATATAAATTGATAGAAATTTATTTATTTATTTATTTATTTATTTATTTATTTATTTATTTATTTATTTATTTATTTATTTATTTATTTATTTATTTATTTATTTATTTATTTATTTATTTATTTATTTATTTATTTATCCATCCAACAATATTATGTACTCTTGCGAACAAGGGGACTTTTGAATGAAATAGAATGTTGGCTTTTAAGATGACCATGAACATTATCCTTTTTTTACACAGACGCGGAGAGCCCTGTCGTCATTTGTCCAGCTGATATATTCCAGAACACAGATGATGGAGCATCTTGGGCGAATGTAACATGGGGTGCTGTCAATGCAACTGATAATTCAGGATCTGTAATCGATGTGTATGTTTACCATGCTCCAGGTAGTAATTTTCCTATCGGAAGTACAATTGTTACGTATTCTGCTGTCGATGCATACAACAACACAGGGTACTGTTCCTTTAGTGTAACAATCATTGGTGAGTATAATTATATTTATTGCGGAACAATTATCAGGAAAATTTGTAAAAGATAGTAACGTGTTGATATAATTGATATAGACAAGAATTTATTTATTTATTAACCAACAAAATAATGTACTCTAGCGATCAGGTGATTTTTTTAATGAAATAAGAAGTTGTCTTTCAAGATGACCATGCATATTATTTCCTTTCTATACACAGACGCTGAGAGTCCTGTTGTCATTTGTCCAGCTGATATATTGCAGAACACAGATGATGGAGCATCTTGGGCGAATGTAACATGGGGTGCTGTCAATGCAACTGATAATTCAGGATCTGTAACCAATGTGTATGTTTCTCATGCTCCAAGCAGTAATTTTCCTATCGGAAGTACAATTGTTACGTATTCTGCTGTCGATGCATACAACAACACTGGGTACTGTTCCTTTATTGTAACCGTCATTGGTGAGTATTATTGTATTTATTGCCGAACAAATATCAGGAAAATTCGTAAAAGGTTGTAAAGTGTTGATCTAATTTACATATAAATTGATAGACACGAATTTATTTCTTAATTAATTTATTTATTTATTATTTATTAATTTTTTTTATTTTTTTATTTATTTTTTTATTTATTTTCCAACACGATTATGTACTATTGCGACCAGGTGATTTTTGAAGTGAAATACAAAGTTGTCTTTCAAGATGACCATGCACACTATTTTGTTTCTATACACAGACGCTGAGAGTCCTGTTGTCATTTGTCAAGCTGATATATTACAAAATACAGACGATGGAGCACCTTGGGCGAATGTTACATGGGGTGTTGTCAATGCAACTGATAATTCAGGATCTGTATCCGATATATATGTGTCTCATGCTCCAGACAGCAATTTCCCTATCGGAAGTACAATTGTTACGTATTCTGCTGTAGATGCATACAACAACACGGGGTACTGTTCCTTTAGTGTAAACGTTATTGGTAAGTATAATTACATTTATTGCGGAACAGTTATCAGAAAAAATTCGTAAAAAGTAGTAAAGTGTTGATATCATTTATATATAAATTGATAGACAAGAATTTATTTATTTATTTATTTATTAACCAACATGATTATGTACTCTTGTGATCAGGTGATTTTTGAAATGAAATAGAAAGTTTTCGTTCAAGATGACCATGCATAATATTTTCTTGCCATTAACAGACGCTGAGAGTCCTGTCGTCATTTGTCCAGCTGATATATTCCAGAACACAGAGGATGGAGCTACTTGGGCAAATGTTACATGGGGTGTTGTTAATGCAACTGATAATTCAGGATCTGTAACCGATCTGTATGTGTCTCATGCTCCAAGCAGCAATTTCTCTATTGGAAGTACGCAGGTTACGTATTCGGCTGTAGATGCATACAACAACACAGGACACTGTTCCTTTATTGTTACCATCATTAGTGAGTATAATTATATTTATTGTCAAACGATTATCAGTAACATTCGTAAAAGGTAGTAATGCTTTAATATAATTTATATATAAATTTATTTATTTATTTATTTATTTATTTATTTATTTATTTATTTATTTATTTATTTATTTATTTATTTATTTATTTATTTATTTATTTATTTATTTATTTATTTATTTATTTATTTATTTATTTATTTATTTATTTATTTATTTATTTATTTATTTATTTATTTATTTATTTATTTATTTATTTATTTATTTATTTATTTATTTATTTATTTATTTATTTATTTATTTATTTATCCATCCAACAATATTATGTACTCGTGCGAACAAGGGGACTTTTGAATGAAATAGAATGTTGGCTTTTAAGATGACCATGAACATTATCCTTTTTTTACACAGACGCGGAGAGTCCTGTCGTCATTTGTCCAGCTGATATATTCCAGAACACAGATGATGGAGCATCTTGGGCGAATGTAACATGGGGTGCTGTCAATGCAACTGATAATTCAGGATTTGTAATCGATGTGTATGTTTCTCATGCTCCAGGTAGTAATTTTTATATCGGAAGTACAATTGTTACGTATTCTGCTGTCGATGCATACTACAACACAGGGTACTGTTCCTTTAGTGTAACCATCATTGGTGAGTATAATTATATTTATTGCGGAACAATTATCAGGAAAATTTGTAAAAGATAGTAAAGTGTTGATATAATTGATATAGACAAGAATTTATTTATTTATTAACCAACAAATTAATCTACTCTAGCGATCAGGTAATTTTTTAAATGAAATAGGAAGTTGTCTTTCAAGATGACCATGCATATTATTTCCTTTCTATACACAGACGCTGAGAGTCCTGTTGTCATTTGTCCGGCTGATATAATGCAGAACACAGACGATGGAGCCTCCTGGGCGAATGTAACATGGGGTGCTGTCAATGCAACTGATAATTCAGGATCTGTAACCAATGTGTATGTTTCTCGTGCTCCAAGTAGTAATTTTCCTATCGGAAGTACAATTGTTATGTATTCTGCTGTCGATGCATACAACAACACTGGGTACTGTTCCTTTATTGTAACCGTCATTGGTGAGTATTATTGTATTTATTGCCGAACAAATATCAGGAAAATTCGTAAAAGGTTGTAAAGTGTTGATCTAATTTACATATAAATTGATAGACACGAATTTATTTCTTAATTAATTTATTTATTTATTATTTATTATTTTTTTTTATTTTTTTATTTATTTTTTTATTTATTTTCCAACACGATTATGTACTATTGCGACCAGGTGATTTTTGAAATGAAATACAAAGTTGTCTTTCAAGATGACCATGCACACTATTTTGTTTCTATACACAGACGCTGAGAGTCCTGTTGTCATTTGTCCAGCTGATATATTGCAAAATACAGACGATGGAGCACCTTGGGCGAATGTTACATGGGGTGTTGTCAATGCAACTGATAATTCAGGATCTGTATCCGATATATATGTGTCTCATGCTCCAGACAGCAATTTCCCTATCGGAAGTACAATTGTTACGTATTCTGCTTTAGATGCATACAACAACACGGGGTACTGTTCCTTTAGTGTAACCGTTATTGGTAAGTATAATTACATTTATTGCGGAACAGTTATCAGAAAAATTCGTAAAAAGTAGTAAAGTGTTGATATCATTTATATATAAATTGATAGACAAGAATTGATTTATTTATTTATTTATTCATTTATTATCCAACATGATTATGTACTCTTGTGATCAGGTGATTTTTGAAATGAAATAGAAAGTTTTCGTTCAAGATGACCATGCATATTATTTTCTTGCCATTAACAGACACTGAGAGTCCTGTCGTCATTTGTCCAGCTGATATATTCCAGAACACAGACGATGGAGCTACTTGGGCGAATGTTACATGGGGTGTTGTCAATGCAACTGATAATTCAGGATCTGTAACCGATCTGTATGTGTCTCATGCTCCAAGCAGCAATTTCCCTATTGGAAGTACACAGGTTACGTATTCGGCTGTAGATGCATACAACAACACAGGACACTGTTCCTTTATTGTCACCATCATTAGTGAGTATAATTATATTTATTGCCAAACGATTATCAGTAACATTCGTAAAAGGTAGTAATGCTTTAATATAATTTATATATAAATTGATAGAAATTTATTTATTTATTTATTTATTTATTTATTTATTTATTTATTTATTTATTTATTTATTTATTTATTTATTTATTTATTTATTTATTTATTTATTTATTTATTTATTTATTTATTTATTTATTTATTTATCCATCCAACAATATTATGTACTCTTGCGAACAAGGGGACTTTTGAATGAAATAGAATGTTGTCTTTTAAGATGACCATGAACATTATCCTTTTTTTTTACACAGACGCGGAGAGTCCTGTTGTCATTTGTCCAGCTGATATATTGCAGAACACAGACGATGGAGCCTCCTGGGCGAATGTAACATGGGGTGCTGTCAATGCAACTGATAATTCAGGATCTGTAACCAATGTGTATGTTTCTCATGCTCCAAGCAGTAATTTTCCTATCGGAAGTACAATTGTTACGTATTCTGCTGTCGATGCATACAACAACACTGGGTACTGTTCCTTTAGTGTAACCATCATTGGTGAGTATAATTATATTTATTGCGGAACAATTATCAGGAAAATTTGTAAAAGATAGTAAAGTGTTGATATAATTGATATAGACAAGAATTTATTTATTTATTAACCAACAAATTAATCTACTCTAGCGATCAGGTGATTTTTTAAATGAAATAGGAAGTTGTCTTTCAAGATGACCATGCATATTATTTCCTTTCTATACACAGACGCTGAGAGTCCTGTTGTCATTTGTCCGGCTGATATAATGCAGAACACAGACGATGGAGCCTCCTGGGCGAATGTAACATGGGGTGCTGTCAATGCAACTGATAATTCAGGATCTGTAACCAATGTGTATGTTTCTCGTGCTCCAAGCAGTAATTTTCCTATCGGAAGTACAATTGTTACGTATTCTGCTGTCGATGCATACAACAACACTGGGTACTGTTCCTTTATTGTAACCGTCATTGGTGAGTATTATTGTATTTATTGCCGAACAAATATCAGAAAAATTCGTAAAAGGTTGTAAAGTGTTGATCTAATTTACATATAAATTGATAGACACAAATTTATTTCTTAATTAATTCATTTATTTATTTATTATTTATTTTTTATTTTTTTTATTTATTTTTTTATTTATTTTTTTATTTATTTTCCAACACGATTATATACTATTGCGACCAGGTGATTTTTGAAATGAAATACAAAGTTGTCTTTCAAGATGACCATGCACACTATTTTGTTTCTATACACAGACGCTGAGAGTACTGTTGTCATTTGTCCAGCTGATATATTGCAAAATACAGACGATGGAGCACCTTGGGCGAATGTTACATGGGGTGTTGTCAATGCAACTGATAATTCAGGATCTGTATCCGATATATATGTGTCTCATGCTCCAGGCAGCAATTTCCCTATCGGAAGTACAATTGTTACGTATTCTGCTGTAGATGCATACAACAACATGGGGTACTGTTCCTTTAGTGTAACCGTTATTGGTAAGTATAATTACATTTATTGTGGAACAGTTATCAGAAAAAATCGTGAAAAGTAGTAAAGTGTTGATATCATTTATATATAAATTGATAGACAAGAATTTATTTATTTATTTATTTATTCATTTATTATCCAACATGATTATGTACTCTTGTGATCAGGTGATTTTTGAAATGAAATAGAAAGTTTTCGTTCAAGATGACCATGCATATTATTTTATTGCCATTAACAGACGCTGAGAGTCCTGTCGTCATTTGTCCAGCTGATATATTCCAGACCACAGACGATGGAGCTACTTGGGCGAATGTTACATGGGGGTGTTGTCAATGCAACTGATAATTCAGGATCTGTAACCGATCTGTATGTGTCTCATGCTCCAAGCAGCAATTTCCCCATTGGAAGTACGCAGGTTACGTATTCGGCTGTAGATGCATACAACAACACAGGACACTGTTCCTTTATTGTCACCATCATTAGTGAGTATAATTATATTTATTGCCAAACGATTATCAGTAACATTCGTAAAAGGTAGTAATGCTTTAATATAATTTATATATAAATTGATAGAAATTTATTTATTTATTTATTTATTTATTTATTTATTTATTTATTTATTTATTTATTTATTTATTTATTTATTTATTTATTTATTTATTTATTTATTTATTTATCCATCCAACAATATTATGTACTCTTGCGAACAAGGGGACTTTTGAATGAAATAGAATGTTGGCTTTTAAGATGACCATGAACATTATCCTTTTTTTACACAGACGCGGAGAGTCCTGTCGTCATTTGTCCAGCTGATATATTCCAGAACACAGATGATGGAGCATCTTGGGCGAATGTAACATGGGGTGCTGTCAATGCAACTGATAATTCAGGATCTGTAATCGATGTGTATGTTTATCATGCTCCAGGTAGTAATTTTCCTATCGGAAGTACAATTGTTACGTATTCTGCTGTCGATGCATACAACAACACAGGGTACTGTTCCTTTAGTGTAACCATCATTGGTGAGTATAATTATATTTATTGCGGAACAATTATCAGAAAAATTTGTAAAAGATAGTAAAGTGTTGATATAATTGATATAGACAAGAATTTATATATTTATTAACCAGCAAAATAATGTACTCTAGCGATCAGGTGATTTTTTAAATGAAATAGGAAGTTGTCTTTCAAGATGACCATGCATATTATTTCCTTTCCATACACAGACGCTGAGAGTCCTGTTGTCATTTGTCCAGCTGATATATTGCAGAACACAGACGATGGAGCCTTCCTGGGCGAATGTAACATGGGGGTGCTGTCAATGCAACTGATATTCAGGATCTGTACCAATGTGTATGTTTTCTCATGCTCCAGCA